ACTATCATAACTGCAAGGAATACTGGTGGTAAATGTTTTTCATTATTACGACTATGTCTTCCTGCATTTATCAATCGATTTATATTTCAAAACTTAATATACGTCAGTTTAAAGAGAACAGCTGATAAGTCACACCCCTTTAGTACTTCTCTGTTTTTACTTTTGGTCAGTTTGGGTCACTTTTCATAAGCAATAATGATATGATTAATTGACTGTTATGGTGTCGATGTTCATCTCATCTCGAAAAAAACCAAACCAACAAACAAGTTACTGGTGAACACATACAAACAAACCAGATTCAATTGTTTATTACCAAACAAAACATGTTGTACAGTTGATAGGAAATTGTGTTACACCATTATGAGCTTGTTATGAAACATAATTTGCATGTAGACAAGAATACCCCCCCCCCACCCCCACACACATTCACACACGTACATATACACATACAAACACACACATATACATACACATAGATAGAATCACACATATACACACTCCCACAAACACACACACACTCTCCCTCTCACACAGGCACGCATACACACACACACACACACACACACACACACACACACACACACACGCACACATATTATGCACACAGACACGCACACACATACACACCCGTGTACACACAAGTGCATCACAAAAATACTTGTATTCTTATACACCCAAGACTGTGTTATCTGATATAATGCCAATTTACCAAATGAATGGCAACGAGGTAAGGTTGCACACGCAATGAAATTGGTATAATGCCCTTAATTTGAGGTCGCCCTTGGTATATATAATATATGCCAGCGCAACAATTTTTTTTTATAGAGAGCAAAGAGTGGCAGCCTGGTTTTGAATATTACAATCAAGTCAATGGCGAATATGGACATTATAGGTATTAACATACATAATATTGAAACACTCATACTCACATAAATGCTTATAAGTAGGTGAACCACACAGTTAAAAACAAACAAACTATCTTCCTCAACTCCCTCACTGGCATGCACACACGCACACACGCACGCACGCACGTACGCACGCACGCACACATACACACACGCACTCACGTACGCACACACGCACACACGCACGCATGTACCCACGCTAACACGCATGTACCCACGCTAACACACACACACACACACACACACACACACACACACACACACACACACACACACACACACTTACACAAACACACACACCACCAACAGCCTAACTACTGGAATACTGCGTATCGTCAATGTCATCGAGTTCATCAAGCAATGTCCGTAAATTGGCCGCAGTCGACACAATTAATTGTGAGGCAACGCTGTGAAATTAGGCGCTTGTCAAAGTAACCAAATCAAAGGAAACCGCATTTTCACGCTTGTTTAGTTATTTTCAATGAAGTGTCTTTTTTGTTGTCATTGTTTTTTGTTTGTTTGTTGTTGTTTTTTTGTGGGTTTTTTGGAAGTGGGGGGGGGGGGGGGTTGATTTAACATCTTTTATGTCTATTTAAAAACAAATTTCAGTGTGGATTTTACTGAAAATGAAATGTTTTAGCAGTTTTGCAGTTTCCATGGACTCTCAAACTCTGGATCTCCTTACTTTGGCGGCCAGTTTCACGGTAATTTCATCTCTGAAACCAGGCGACCCCACGTCATTCAATCACGAATAATTATCTCAACTTCTTTTCAAATTATAGCTAACTAGTAGTTTTTTCATCGAAAAAGCAGGACAAATAAACAAGCTATGAGATGATACAAATAACTTAAAATGCCCAAAAAATTGACTAGCGCCTGATTCCACAGCGTCGTGACACATTCTATTTTTAACCAAGATATGCATCCAACATTTAATCGCAATAAACATATTTGTAGTTATCTACTTTCCGTAGCACAATTTTGTTTATCCAGAAGAGCTTCTGACTGCTCCTCTTGTCCAGCATAAACCTGTACATCATGCAAAGACTTTCTATTTTTAGTACAATCTACTTTATTTTCGAGCAAGGTGTTTGGCTGAACATCGTCAGGATTACTGTCTAATTTATCTTGCAATGTTTTAGAATGAGCATCTTCAAGGTTATAGTCTAATTTTTCTTGTAATATTTTTGACTGCGCATTTTCAGGTTTATAGTTTAGTTTATCTTGCAATTCTTTATGCAGACCATTTTCAGCAGTATCTAATCTGTGAAGCAGCGCTTTACAATCTCCATCTTCACTATATTCTAATAATTTGTCTGCGAGAGTGTTAGAATATTTCTCTTCCTCATCTTGCATGAGGCGGCTTATAACAGACTTCTCTGGCTCATCTGGGGCTGGAATCACAAACTCTTTGTCACAGTAGGCAGATCCCTGGGCGACGTGTGACGTAGAAACCTTGTGGTTGTCCTCCCCGCCGTCCTCCAGGCTGGTCTGTGACGTGTCTGTGACATCATTCATGCCCAGAGATGACAGTGCGCACAGGCCGGAAGCTATCAGAAACGTCACAGCTGGTGGGAGATATCATTATTATGTTTGTTTTAGTAGAGGTTTTACGGCGCTCGCAACTGCATAAGGTTATATAAGCGCCAAGGTGGGAGACAGAGCGAATCACTGTGAGCTTCACATTCCAACGACAAACGACAACACACACATAGACACACACATACACTCACACACACACAAATGTATACACACTCACAAACACATACACACACAGACTCACACACACACACACACACACACACACACATATATAAAGACACATACTCACACTCACACACACATAAACACAAACACTTACACACACACTCACTCACACACACACACTCACACACACACAAACACACACACACACACACACACACACACACACACACACTCACACACACACACACTCACACAGACACACACACAGACACATACACAGACATACACAAACACAGGAACGTCACGGCTGGTGGGAGACAGAGCCAATCACAGCAGAGAGCTTTGCGTTCTAACGACAAACGACCACACACACACACACACACACA